AAAAAACTTTTTCTATATTATTTAATGAAACATGCATTAATATATATATATATATATATATATATATATATATATATATATATATATAATATGAAATGATTACATAACTTCTAAATATCAATTTTTTCCCGACTTCGATGTTTCTTGGTAAAATTTTTTTAAGTCTTCAGAGGGTTCTAGGTTTAAACGATATTTCTATTGTTTATTCAATTTTTCTATTTGCTCCGCGTCTTTCTCAATCCGCTTTTATTTTTATTCCGTTTTGTACACGTGTGTATTCATGAATTTAACATTTTTTTACACGCGCAGGTTCATGTAATATTGCTTTTGTTTAGGTCTCTCATTTTTTTTTTCATTTTTCTTCATTCTTTAAAGATAAATACAAAATGTTTCTTTGGCCACGCCTTGTTTTCTATTAAGCAGAAAACCTAGATTAAATGACAGACCAATTTTCCTGACATTAGCAACGCGATGAAATATCAAAAGTGAAATGATAACACTTTTTTTCATGAGATTCCTTGTCTATTCGCCGTGTATGTATCAAGAAATAACTTCCTTGTAAAATGCACTTGAAATGAAAAGTCAACGAAAATGGATTTCTCGGGTGAAGTCGAATTTGTCAGCTTTACATGTAATGGAAATACGTCAAGCTATTTCTAAATGTTCCCTTTTGTTACGCATCATTTCAGTCAACGGTTAGAAATATCACAGATTGTATTCGTCAAACGGGAAAAATGTACATATACAGTTCTGCTTAGTTCTGTGAGTGCATTTGCATGGGTTTAGTCAAAGACGCATAAGTCATAAAAGAAGACATTTATTTGTGAAAAGAATTGATATGAATAATTTGGAGATTTTTCTTAACGCGTCTATGTAAGGAATCCGCATTTAGCATCGCTGACCACTTCAATACGAGATTTAAAACTCTAACATGCCTGAGTCAGATTATCTATTTTAGATATTGTGCTGGTGTCATATAGGAAGAAAATGACTAACTACCAACACCGAGGTTCGATCGTGTGACACTCTGGACTTATGAATACATGTTTTCCGCCAGATGTATAAATAGCGGTGTCAGGTTACTGACTGCAGTGATTATTAAGCGGAACTATCCAGTCGAATTAGTGTGAAGTATTGTGCGCCGATGATTTGGGGTTTGGTTTAGGATTTACCAGATGTTATACCGAGCCGCGCTATTAACAAGGTATTCACTGAAATGATTAATTACCTTTGGTTGATTTTTACTTCTTTGTTCTTGTTAAGTATTTATTTGCGGCTGTAATTTTGTTTTTAAATGTATTACTGGTAATAATGTTTTTCTTCAAAATTCAATGCTTGTAATAATTTTTTACAAAAATATATTACTAGTGTTCAAACCTATTTTTACACTTTAATAACGTTTTGACCCCAGTTTAGCGGTTAACTATTTGCCCATGGCTGGGACCCTAACAGGTGCTACAACCCCGAGTTAGGGTAGACCTGGGAACACCAACAATTAACAGATGGTTCCACGCACCTCAAAACCTCTTGATCAAAGGCCTTACTGTCGGATGTAGTTCATCATCTTACCCAGGACACGACGAAGGCTGGACAATCTGACACACACACAAGATTTATTGAGGGCAAGCGAAGCAGGAGGAAAGAAACTGTAACCTACTTAAAGCAACAAAAGGCAGGATGTTGTGATCCATTATCAACCATTTCTTGGAAAGATTTGACATATAAAAAATTAATATTTTATTGGAAAATTAATTCTTTTAACTTCATGTACCTACAGAGCATAGATAATCATATCTCCTCACATATTATCTTATTAATACAACTCCCATGGAAAGATGGAGTATTTTCGCCATTGCCCTCTACACGATTTCTAGACTGACTGCCACTCAAGGCTAGAGATCCTAGACTTCCTTGTTATTTAACCCATAACTGAGGAGAGCAAAGATGAATGCAAGACTCTTCCAAAATTATTAATATGAAAATTAAGGCAACAGTCTAGGGAGTAATTTGAACTCGACTCGAAGTTTTCACTGCCTGCACAAGTAACCATTAAGCTGAACAAATATCGTAGTTTTAGGACGCATTAATTGCAACCTATACATAAGGCCTCGGTGATGTTTGGCTCTTCACTGACTTTACGACTACTCCCCCTATGCATTTACTTAACTTTAGACATTTCTACAATCAAAAACTAAATATTGCTTGCAGGAAGTACAGGAAACTGGAGATTTAGCATAAAATTGGTTTATGCAATTTTCATTGTTTAATCTAAACGTTGGTCATTGATAAACAGAAAAAAATAATTTATTACATTTCTGGAATTAATGCAAGCGTTACAGAAATATAGAAATATTTATATGCGTAAGTGAAATGTGCAACTAAATGATCATTCTTTAGTTACTAATTTAAAATTGCATATAAAATAAGGAGAAAATGGATTGGCAGCGGTCAGGTATTAAAGCCAAAACTGCAGACAGAATACAACTATTATGTGAATAATATCATTCATTGTTAAGTCTTTTTACTGTCAAATCCGTATAAACATTATTTTATTATAGAATGTTAATGATTTTTAAGATAGAAATGGTAGGAATGTGACTGAAGCCGAGATGCCATGTCAAGACCAATAACATTGCAAATTATTCATTGTATATTATCAAGAATCTCGAAATTCATAAATGTTACTTAAACACAGGAGTAAATTGGTTCGCCTATCGTTCGGTTTGCACTCTTTCCACGATTGTATGAAGATGAGTAGAATTTTGTCTCTTGTTTCCTGTTTAGGATTGGGTTTCCGTTTCATTGTAAAGTCTAATTCACCTCTATACTTCTAACGTCTCAGCCTAAAACTGAAATTTCATTTACTATCTATTTTTTCTCCCCAGTACGAGTAAATAGATACTCCAGTATCTGTCTATATTTCTGACATGAGGTATTATGTACACTATTTACATTATTCGGACTATTGTCCTCATTATTGTCGCCATATTTATTACAACGTTTCAGCCTTTCAGTATCTGTCTATATTTCTGAGATGAGGTATTATGTACACTATTTACATTATTCGGACTATTGTCCTCATCTTTGTTGCCATATTTATTACAACGTTTCGGACTTTTAGTATCTGTCTATATTTCTGAGATGAGGCATTATGTACACTATTTACATTATTCGGACTATTGTCCTCATCTTTGTCGGCATATTTATTACAACATTTCGGCCTTTCAGTATCTGTCTATATTTCTGAGATGAGGTATTATGTACACTATTTACATTATTCGGACTATTGTCCTCATCTTTGTCGCCATATTTATCACAACGTTTCGGCCTTTCAGTATCTGTCTATATTTCTGAGATGAGATATTATGTACACTATTTATATTATTCGGACTATTGTCTTCATCTTTGTCGACATATTTATTACGACGTTTCAGCCTTTCAGTATCTGTCTATATTTCTGAGATGAGGTATTATGTACACTATTTATATTATTCGGATTATTGTCCTCATCTTTGTTGCCATATTTATCACAACTCTCTATGGTGGGTAAATAGATACTCGCAGTAAAATATTTAATCTATAAATTTTACTCAAACAGAGCAGTAAATACTTTCGCCTATCGCCCGGTTTACACTCTTCTCCAATTTTTTGAACAGGGGCTGATACTTATCCCTTGTTTCCTGTTTAAGATTGGGTTTCTGGTTTCTTCTAAAGTCAACCCTAACATTTCGTTGTGGCCTGTTTAGGGGCCAAAAAGAAAGACACCGAAGACGAAGGTAGGTTGAATCAAGTGTATTGAAATAACAGATATATACAAAGCAAGGGTGTTAGTAATAAACAGATAGAGGGGTACGTCCGAACGGTAAGTTAACACTGCGTCTCCGTTCCACAACCGACTGTCTCACGACTCTTGCTAAGAAGTCTCGCCGTTGGCATTTATGACAGGAGGAAGAACTCAATCTACTGTAGAAGGGTTTACCACAACAAATTCTAACATCTCTTCCTAAATTCTGACTATTTATTCTTTCTTCTCAATAGGAGTAGATAGGTTCACCTATTGTCCGGCTCACACTCCTCTGAATAAGAATATCCCTTGTTACCTGTTAAGATTGGCTTTCTGGTTTCTTCTAAAGTTTTGCCATTCCTTTTCATTGTTATCCTGCTTGGAGTGAAATAATTAAAAAAGAAACCAATCATCAACGAACGAACTGTTAATAAAAATGGAGCAGCTATTCGTTGGCAGTCAGATGACAACTTCATGACGCTTAATGTTTACTCAAAACTGAGTCTCTCATATTTAGCTTCAGATTTTATTTCATTCTTAATTTCGTCACTTATTTTTCGACCAACGTATATGCGCGGCTTCGGGCTCCCCAATACAAAATGTGGCCTTTTCATTCTTTTCTGCAATGTCTCAGAGAGACTGCCATTGCTGCCTTTCGGGTTGATGTTTTTACATTTACTCCCGTGCGGACAATATAAGATCTCTAGGCCAACATACCTGTCAAGGTTGCCAATTACATCTGGTGAATCGCGTGTCTCCGTCTTTATCACAGATCAATCATGCATCTAGCTTCTCTTACGGACGCTGTATGCAAATTCTATCCTGCATGATCTGGTTTGGTTTGGCATATCAATCTATCTAAGAACATGACTCGAAGTTTCAGGTTGTTTCTTACAATTTGCGAAGTTGGATGAAATTCCCTGCGGCACAGGCTATTTTCTATGTCAATTTGTTATAGCTGACCCATACGCCAAGGTATTTGAAGTGTTACAGTCAGTTATGTGATATGCGTGATACATGCTTAGTGGATCATGTATCTTTCGATACATGACTGATGAAGCAAAGTTTTTCCTGCAGTAGGTTATCATTTCTTTCTGCGGTAGTCCAGTTGCCATCCAAGGCTATAGAACACGCTCTATCCTACTATTTACCCATAGCTGCGGGGACAAGAAGAGGAGTCATACCTTTCACAAGAGCCTGATTGGAAAAAAAAACAATGAAAATCGCACACCAACATTTTCCTCTTTCTCTCTCTCTCTCTCTCTCTCTCTCTCTCTCTCTCTCTCATGTCCTTTTGAGATGTTGTTGATTATAGCCCTCCACAGATTCCTGTCTTTTACCGTTCCAAGTACTTATTGTTCCTCACAATTTGTTAAATTCTCCAAGACTTCGTTAATACATTCTTTCTTTTTCTCCTTTCAGTAAATCAGTCAGTTATGTGCCATGTGTGATACCAGCTTAGGCGATCATGTATCTTTCGATACATGACTGACGAGTCAGATTTTTTCTTGCAGTAGGTTGCCATTTCTTTCTGTGGTAGACCAGTTGCCATCCAAGGCTATAGAATCCGGTTTGTCCTGCTATTTACCCATAGATGGGGAGAGAAGAGGATTCATACCTTTCCCAAGGGTATTACCACTTAAGTGAATATCAGTCAGTTAAATGCAATGCGTGATACACACTTAGGCGATCATGTATCTTTCGATGCATGACTGACGAAGCAGATTTTTTCCCGCGGTAGACCAGTTGCAATCCCGGTCTGTCCTGCTATTTACTCATAGGGAAGAAGAAAACCATTCATATCTTTCCCAAGCACGTAAGTGAATGTAATGGATTCGACTGGATTCGGTATTTACCAATTCCTCATCCTGTTTATTTATAATGGTTTCAAGGTAGGTACCACCACTGCTTTTATTTCAATTTTCAAATCGTAGTTTCTGTACACTATTTACATTATTCGAACTATTTTGCTCAATTTTGTCGCCATATTTATTTAAAAAATATGGAACGCTTCACGAATTAGCATTGCCCCTGCGCAAGGATGACACACAAATTTGTGTAGCGTCCCATATTTTTTAAATAAATATGACGACAAAGATGAGGACAATAGTCCGAATAATGTAAATAGTGTACATAGTACCTCACCTCAGAAATTTAGACAGATACTGAAAAGCCGAAACGTTGTAATAAATATGCCGACAAAGATGAGAACAATAGTCCGAATGATGTAAATAGTGTACATAATACCTCATCTCAGAAATATAGATATATACTGAACGGCCGAAACGTTGTAATAAATATGGCGACAAAGATGAGGACAATAGTCTGAATGATGTAAATAGTGTGCATAATACCTCATCTCAGAAATATAAACAGATACTGAAAGGCCGAAACGTTGTAATAAATATGGCGACAAAGATTAGGACAATAGTCCGAATAATGTAAATAGTGTACATAATACCTCATCTCAGAAATATAGACAGATACTAAAAGGCCGAAACGTAATAAATATGGCGACAAAGATGAGGACAATAGTCCGAATAATGTAAATAGTGTACATAATACCTCATCTCAGAAATTTAGATACAGTTTCTTTGTTAGAAATGGTTTCTCTTGAGTGCCAGTCTTGGAAGACTTGTTAAAGGAAGCTGGTTTTCTTTAAAATCTCTCTTCACGCTCTTGCAACAACATAATTTATTAACTTCCTACAATGAGTAACCTTGCACTGTGTTTACGACAGTATAAAACAGCCCTTTTAATACTTTGATGGTATTACATCCAGTATAAACAAATCTTAATTAATTTATTCAACTCTCAGCGTGGTATAATAAGTACTTAGCTGCTCCGTTTCATTACTACTACTGAATATAAAGTTTAATTCTTACCATGTGCATGTGCTCGTGGCCCTGTGTCAGACTAGCCTAAAATTTGTAAACAATAGATGCAATTAATGTCTATGTTATTCTCAAAAATACATAATTTCTAGGAAATTGAAAATTGATATGTTTTTACGGCTTATCAACATTTTGCAGGTTATTTAAAACCAGAAAGTATTTTTTGATAATGATAAATTACCGATACAAGTCTTATTAATTAACCCATGGGAGGAGAAAAGGTGGATTTATACCTTTCCAAAAAGCGCAATTGCGCGCAAGTGAATATAATGAACTTCACTGGAATTAGAACTTGGCTCTACGATTTTCAATTCCGAGTCGTTATCCATTACCCTACCCGGAGATCAGTCATTTTTAAGAAGTCACTCATCTAGAAACTGTCCAGACTCGACGTTTCATCATTGATCGTAAGGGGACCGATATTTCAACGTGATATGGCCGTCAACCCTTCAAAGAAATAAAAACAGATGCAAATATAATTAACTTTATAATTAAATTTCATTAATCAATGACGTAAGTGACATCACCAGCAATCTACACTATACAGCGGTAGATTTTTCACAATCCACTGTTCGAAGGATATTTCGAGAGAAGAAATATAGAGGCCATATCACAAATGCAAATCACTCACTAGCAGGAAGAATCGAAAGGCCAGATTGCAAGGAAGTACAGAGATGAACGACACAAGTTCCGAAAGAAAATTTTATGAACAACTTAGGATATACGACCTTTTGTTTGAACCCATTCATTTTTCAAGTCAGAAAAACTACTGGAACACACGACTGACAGGTGCTGCTTGTTGCCCAGGTGTTGTCTTTTAGTTCCTTTAATCATTAAATAGCTCTGAATGATGACTCTTCGTTTTAGCCTTGGCTTGCACCTGTAAAGACTGCATTTCTTTTTAAAAAGAATAAACCAAGATGAAGACGAGAGAGAGAGAGAGAGAGAGAGTCTATGAGAAAAAAGGCAAGCCATTTTGAAGCTGAGAGAAGAATAAAATCGATCGGGGCCATTGGGCATGCGCAACAATTTGGAATGTTCTGATAAACAGCCAGATTGGAATTTGCCAGGAAGTACAGAGATGAGGGACCCAAGTTCTGGAAGAAAGTTTTATGGACAGATGAGACCAAGAAAAATCACTAGCAAAGTGATGAAAAGCCATAGTTTGGATAAAGAAAGGATCCGTTTATGATCCAAAGCATACAAGCTCATCTGTGAAGCATGATGGGGGCAGTGTCTTGGTTCGGGCATGCATGGTTGCTTCTGGAACAGGCTTATTCATATTTATTGGGGATGTAACAAAAGAACGAATTCAGAAGTCTAGAGAAACATTATGCCTGCCAGTTTACAGAGAAATGCACTCAAACTAATCGCAAGTAAGTTTATCATGCAGCAGGGCATTAACCCAAGAAATATTGCTAACACAACAAAGGATTTCATCAGGGTGAGGAAGTGGATTGTTTTAGACTGGCCAAATCAATCACTGGGCCTTAGCCTAATAGAGCATTCATTTCATCTCCTGAAGAGGAGGCTGAAGGAAAAAACCCCCGAAAAATGTAAGAACTGGAGGAGGAAAGTATAGAAAAAGCTTCACAAATGAAGTATGCAACAGTTCGGCGCTGATCTGGCATCTCGTCTGCAGTCGCTCTCTCACAAACGTGCCGTTGCCTCCCTCTGTCTTTTTTACAAATACTTTCACGGTAACTGCTCCAATGAGCTGCTTTCGCTGATTCCCAGACTTCATGAATTTAAGCGCTCAACTAGACTGGCATCTCGCTCACACCCTTTCACTGTCGAAACTGTTAAATGTATCCGTCTCTTCTACTTCAATATCTTCATGCCTTACACTTCTCGCCTGTGGAACTCCCTCCCCCTTTCCTGTTTCCCTGATAGCTATAATTTCCAACTATTCAAATGTAATGTCAATCGACGTCTCTAGATGCCTTGATCTATCCCCTATCCTTCTCTTTATCCTTTCCTCTATCACTCCTCTTTGCTCTCGCTCCAACTCTTTGTAGCCCCTTGCGTGCTAGTGGCTTCACGCTTTGCTTGGGGTGAAACGCTTTAAAAAAATAAAGAAAAAAAAAGTTTGCTGAAGGCAATGGGTCAAAGGCTAGACGCAGTTATTGCAAGCAAGGGTTATTCAACCAAATATTAAATGTTATTTGCTTTAAAACTATCAGTAACTTTACTTTTGCTCACCTACAAATGGAGTAATCTGATACAACAGTTGGTATGCCCGAAACCGTTTAAGACATCTAAATGTAAATAGCAAGAAATAAAAGATGAAATTCTGGATTCTTTTCTCATATTTGTCTTTTGATCTTTAACCCAAATGTCTTCAGTTAACAACAAAATCAAAGAAATTGTCATTGCTATTCCAATACTTTTGTAGGGGAATCTGTGTATATTTATGTATCTCTTTTTTTTTTGTTTCCTTGAGCAATTTTTATCTACTGTCGGCTTGCTAAGCCAGTCACAGCAGACCAGACTAGACAAAATTGACTTTGCTTCCTAATATATATATATATATATATATATATATATATATATATATATATATATATATATATATTGTCATCCACAGACAGACTGTTTCGCTGTATCACAGCTCTTCAGTGTGGCTTGACGTCCGATTGCTTCAAGCCGGGATCGAAACCCCTAGGCTATCATCAACGGCAGAGAGGAAGGGAAATTTTAACGTTTTCTATGCGAAATACGTGAATAAAGGGTAAAGGAAAACTTTCATTCTCTTAGCCGAGGTGTTTTATCCTGTGATGCACTTTATTAGAGCAAAAGTAAGGATATAATTTTGCAACAAATATTTGTAAACAGAAGAGAAAAATTTTTAAATTTAAATTCAGAATTTAAAATTTAAATTCAGAACTTCAGAATTTAAATTTAAGAAATGTGATGAATATACTTCAAGAAAACTGGAGGTCAAAGTAAATTATGGAAGAGGCTAAATGATATAATTCCGTGTCTAATGAAGAAAAGAGAGTAAATGTTTTTATTTTTGAAGTTGATTTTTTTTTAAATAATATAATAATTATTCATATTATATTTAGTATGAGATTAATTTATGTTTTATATATTTTAAGTAATTTAATGTTTGGAACTTAACTGTTTTATTTTAGATTTATGTTTTGGTAAGATTCGATAGCGGCAATTTCAATAATTTCCCCTCTAAGTAAGTTACTTTTCTTTTAATAATTGAGACTTCCTTTCGATGGAAGTTGCGGTAGATCTTATTTCTATGTATGACTAATGCATTTGATAAATTGTTGTGTATGTTTTTGTGTTCGTCGGCTAAGATAAGTTTTCCTTTTGGCTTTGTTTATATTATCTTTTTACAGATATATATTTTTACTTACATCTTAATTTTTACACTCAG